ACGGCTGCCAGCACAGCGGTGGTGGCGGGAGCCTCTCCCGCCTCCTCAGCAGCGCTAAAGATGTCCGACTGCAGCTTAGGCCTGCTCCCCGCTGGCAAGTGGACATCCCCCAAGGGCTACCAGGCTGCCAGAAGGATGTGTGACTGCCAGCTTAGGCCTGCGCAGGCCTAAGTCAGCAGGTAGACATTCCCCGAGGGGTCCCAGACTGCGAGAGGGCACAGGCTGGGCTGAGGGATCCCCCCCGAGTGCACAAATTTTTGTGCACCTGGCCTCTAGTAACTGTATAATGATGAGGAAAATTCACTTAACCTTTCTGAGCCTACTTCCTGATTCAAAGCTAGCATGTAATTATTAAATGCCTACTAGAAGCCAAGCAGTTGCTAGACACTAGAGATATAACAATGGACATGACAAAAACAGTTTGCACCTTCAGAGGCTTAAAGTCTGGAAAGGTGAAGAGTTCAGGCTAAATTACTTTTAAATACTGTTCCACAGTTGGCATTCTATGATTTGAATGGGATTACATTCATATTGTGACCTGCGGTCACACAATGATGATTTCCACATGACCAAAAAAAAACTATAAAGTATTACGGATTTCCCATGTGAACACTGGTAAATAACTTTTAAAACAAGAAGGTTTCATATATTTATTCAGAAGGTGATTCAACTATAGAATGAAGCATTTTTAGAACTATGAAATACAATGTTTTGAAATCTTATTTCCCTGCAATTGTTTATTATAATTTTTATAATCCTGAAGAGATTCTCGTATATGAAGTTTTTTAAACATTCAGGTATTTTGCATGATGTCTGATGTGATCAGTAATAAAGGTAGCAATGAAGTAGTAGCTATGATCATAACCCTAGAAGACAAAATAGAGAGATGATAAGACATTTATCCACCATTCAGAAACACTGATATTAGGGACATTAAATCTCTCATATCAATTTGCTTATAAATAGCCAAAATATTATAACATGAGGCAGGTTTATAATCAGAATCAAGCTTACACTGTACTTTAACATTTTCACTGAAAATTAAAAGAGTGGCAAAAATATGAAGAAAGCCTGGCTGGTGTAGCTAAGTGGTTCAGCGTCAACCTATGAACCAGGAGGTCATGATTCGATTCCTGGTCAGGGCATGTGCCTGGGTTGCGGGCTCCATCTCAGTGGGAGGCGTACAGGAGGCAGCCAATCAATGATTCTTCCTCATCATTGATGTTTCTATCTCTTCCTCTCCCTTCCTGTCTGAAATCAATAAAAATATATCTTAAAAATATGAAGAAAAATGAAACATTCTGCATAGCCTTGTTTCTAGATGCTGCCATTTATATGCAAAAAGAGGAAATAACACATTAATTAAATGTACAGAGTAAAGCAAGGACTAAAAGAATCAGAATTTAGAGAACTTAGAAACATGGGTAAGAAGTTTCAACTCACAAAAGAAGTGCACTAACAAGGATAGGAGAGGGAATGTTAAAAAACAAAATGAGCATACATAAACAATATAGAGAAAGAACACGAAAATACCCAAATGATCGATTACTATTTGGGAAGCCAAACAGTCATCATAAATCTTGTTAATAATTCCACCTACACAGTAAAAGCATATCATATCTCTTCTTAAGGAAAAAGGAATAATTCATTAAACTTTGACATCTTCAGCAATAAATCAAACTGGGTAAAAAGTTACTAAGTTCCTTTGAAAACTACTATAAAACAGAGAGAAAATGTAATGTGCCAGGCAGTTGAGTTGAAACAAGTATCAATCTATCCGGTCAATTAAAACCATTGATATAGGTTAAATGGAAAGGCAATCCTTCCTCAGACTTGGCTTCCAGTCGAGATGACAGTATAGGTAAATGTGGTACTCGCATCCTTCCACAACCACATAAAAATTACAATTAAACTACAGAGCAACCATCATTGAGAACTGCCTGAAGCCTAGCTGAACTGAAGTCCTATAACTAAGGATTTACAGTAGTCAAGACTAGTGGGTGGGGCAGAGACAAGGAACAGGCAGGTCTCATACCACTGTGTAGCGGATAAAAATCAGGAGGGATATCTCTGAAGTTCCCCTGCAGAGTGCGGGGTCCTGGCTCCACACCAGGACCCCCAGTGCAGGGTTTCAGTGCCAGAAGAGAACTCCCCATAACTTCTGGCTGTAAAATCCAGTGGGGATTATGGATGAGTAAGACAGAGGGCTGCTGGAGCCCAAGGCATTCCTATTAAAGGGCCTGCATGAACTTACTCAGATTCACTTGCTCTGAGATATAGCTCTGGGTCAGCATCTCAAAAGGCACCAGGAATATATGAGGAACTAAATCATCAGGCTTCAGAAGGCTGGAGGGGCAGCTTTCTCCCTGACAAAAGTGCTAACAGAGGCCACAGTTCCCTTGCTGAGTCCTCCTCTGCAGGAGCAGGCAAGAGCCATAGCTGAGTCTCCCCTCCAACCCCACTGGGTGATTCCTTGAGACTCTGCCCCACCTAACTTTTAGACCCACCCAAGTGGCTTCCAGTGGCTCTTCCATAAAAACAACCTGTCTTGGCTCATGTTGTGAACTTTCCTAAAATTCTCTCAAAGGTTCACAAACCCAAAACAAGCAGCATCTGGCCTCGGCATGCCCCATACCATAGCTAAGTGGCCCCAAGCCTGGCACTAGTGGCAGTTAGCCTCGGTTCCCAGCCTAGCCTCTCCCAGGCACCTCCGAGACCAGGATAAGTAGTAACTATCTATAGATCACTTAGTAACTCATGGTGGGTGGCCTGCATCTCCTAGGAGGCTCAGTCAGCACACCTGGCTTCAGATCACACCAGAGCACCACCCAACCACCTCCACCAGTAACACTCTCAAGGGGGTTACTTGATGGGCACCAGAGTCCTCCTGAAGTGAATCCTGCTCCATAGGGTTGATTCCTACATAGCAGATCCTCTGCTATAGTCCCAACCAGTCCTCACAGCTGATTGGCCTGGGTGTCAATCCCTCCCACTGACATGCCAACAGCAATCAAGGCTCAACTACAACAGGAGGGTGCACACAGCCCACACTGGGGTGGTGGAAGGGGGTGGTGCACCTGAAGGACCTGGCTTGAGTGCCAGGGGAGGATATGCCCCTGGATAGTACAGGACACCTACTGCATAATGGCCTCTACCAAACCAGGGAGACATAGCAGTTCTACATAATACATGGAAACAAACACAGGGAGGCAGCCAAAATGAGGACACAAAGAAACATGTTCCAAATAAAAGAACAAAACAAAACTCCAGAAAAAGAACTAAACAAAATAGAGACAAGCAATCTACCAGATGCAGAGATCAAAATACTGGTTATAAGCATGCTCAGTAAACTTAGGGGAAATGTAGATTAGCTCAGTGAGAATTTTAATGAAGAGATAAAAAACATAAAAATGGAGATATATAACATATAACCAGTCAGAAATTAGGAATATAATAAATAAAATGAAGAATAAATTAGAGGGAATCAACAGTAAATTAGATAAAGCAGAGGACCAAATCAGCTATTTGGAAGCTAGGGTAGCAGAAAAACACCCAATCATAACAGCAAAAAGAAAAAAGATCCCGGCCAGTGTGGCTCAGTGGTTGAGTGTCGACCTATGAACCAGGAGGTCACGGTTCAATTCCCCATCAGGATACATATTCGGGTTGGGGGCTTGATCCCCAGTGTGGGGCATACAGGAGGCAACTGATCAATGATTCTTTCTCATCATTGATGTTTCTATCTCTCCCTCTCCCTTCCTCTCTGAAGTCATTAAAAATATATTTTAAAAAAATGAAGAAAAAAAAAGAATCCATAAAAATGAGAATAATGTAAGGAACCTCTGGGATAATATCAAGTATAACATTTGCATCATGGGGATGCTGGAAAAAGAGGAGAGACAGCAAAGAATTGAAAACCTATTTGAAAAAATAATGACGGAAAACTCTCTAACCTAATGAAGGAAATAGACATACAAGTCCAGGAAACACAGAGAATCCAAAACAAAATGAACCCAAAGAAGCCCACACAAAAACACATCATAATTAAAATGCCAAAGATTAAAGACAAAGAGAGAATTTTAAAAGCACCAAGAGAAAGGCAGTTAGTTACCCACAAGGAAGCTCCCATGAGACTCAAGTGATTTCTCAACAGAAACTTTGTAGACCAGAAGGGACTGACAAGAAATATTCACAGTGATGAAAAAAGCAAGCACTTACAACCAAGATTACTGTACCCAACAAGACTATCATTCAGAATTGAAAGACAGATGAAGAGCTTCCTAGACAAGAAAAAGCTAAAGGAGTTCATCACCACCAAACTTAGTATTACATGAAATGCTAAAGGGTATTCTTTAAGAAGAAAAAAAAAGGATACAAAATATGAATAAAATGGCAATAACAACATATCACAATTACTTTAAATGCAAATTGATTAGATGCTTCAATCAAAAGACATACAGTGGCTAAATGAGTAAGAAAACAAGACCCTTACATATCATCAACAAATCAACAAATGACAAGTGTTGGCAAGGATGTGGAGAAAACGAAACCCTAGTACTCTGCTGGTAGAAATGGAGACTGGTGCAGCCATTATGGAAAACAGTTTGGAGTTTCCTCAAAAAATTAAAAATGGAACTCGCATTTGATCCAGTGATCCCACTTCTAGGAATATATCCTAAGAAATTGAAACACTCATCAGAAAGAACTTATGCACCCCTATGTTCATAGCAGTGCAATTTAGAATTACTTTTCTGAGCCTGTCTCCTCATTTGTAAAACAAATGGACTGGAGCCATATATGAAAACCCACAGCAAATATAATACTTAATAGTGAAATACTGACAGCTTTTCCTCTAAGATCAGGAACAAAACGAGGATGCTCACTTTTGCCACTTCTATTCAACATAGTCTGGAAGTTCTAGCTAGAGCAATTAGGTAACAAAAAGAAATAAAAGGCACCCAAATTAGAAAAGGAGAGATGAAATGATCTCTGTTCCCGGATGATATAATCTTACATGTGGAAAACCCTAAATATTCCAAATATAAACTGTTAGAGCTAATAAATGAATTCAGCAAAATGGCAGGATACAAAGTCAACACACAAAAAAGATCAGTTGCATGTCTATACATTAACAATGAATAATCTGAAAATAAAATTATGAAAACTATTTCATTCACAATAGTATCCAAAATAAAATCCTTAGGAATTAACAAAAGAAGTGAAAGGCTTTTACAATGAAAACTACAAAACCTTGAAGAAATGAAAGGAGACACAAAAAAACGGAAACACATCCCATGTTCATGGATTGGAAGACTTAATACTGTTAAGATGTCAATAGCAATCTACAAATACAGTGCGATCCCTATCAAAATCTCAATAACATTTTTTTTCAGAATGGGAAATGTCAACCTAAATTTATATGAAATCTCAAAGAATTCAGAAAAGCCAAAACAACCTTGAAAAAGAAGAACAAAGCTAGAGAACTCATGCATCCTGATTTCAAAATTATAAAGCTACAGTAATCAAAACAGTGTGATAATGGTATAAAGACAAACACATATAGACCAAAAGAACAGAACAGAGTCTAGAAATAAACATTTGCATGTATGCTTAAGGTATTTTTGACAAGAATGCCAAAATCATTCAATGGCAAAAGGACAGTCTTTTAAACAAATTGTGCTGGGAAAACTAGATATCTACATGCAAAAGAAAAAAGTTGGATCCTTACCTAATACTATATATAAAAATTAGCTAAAGATGAATGAAGTACCCAAATTTAAGTTCTAAAACTGTAAAGCTCTTAGAATAAAACATAGGACAGAAGCTCCATGACATTGGACCTGGCAATGATTTCTTGGATATGAGACCTAAGGGCACAGGCAACAGAAGAAAAAATAGTCAAATCTGACTTTATGAACATCAAAAATTTTATGCATCAAAATACAGTATTAACAGAGTAAAAAGGCAACCCACAGAATGGGAGAAAAATATTTGCAAGTCATGTACTTTGTAAGGTTGTAATATTCAGAATAGAGAACTTTTAAAACTCAAGAACAAAAAGCAACCTAATTTGAAAATGGACAAAGGACTTGAACAGATATTTCTCCAACGTTATACAAATGGCCAATTAAGTACATGATAAGATGCTCAACATCACTAATCATTAGGGAAATACAAATCAAAAAGATATAATCTCACATCCATTAGGATGGCTACTACCAAAAAAAGAAGAAAAAAAAAAAGATGTGTTGGCAAGTATGTATGGAGGTTCCTCAATAAATTAAAAATAGAATTTCCAAATGATGCAGCAATTCTATTTCTGGGTATATATCCAAAAGAACTGAAAGCAGGGTCTTGAAGAGATATTTTTCATACATGTTATTAGCAGTATTATTCATAACAGCTAAAATGTAAAAGTAATCAACTGTCATCAATCCTCTGACACATGAACGGATAAGCAAAATGTGGTCTATACATACAATGGAAATTATTCTGCCTTAAAACGGCAGGAAATTCTGACACATGGTACAACATGAATGGACCTTGAGAACATTAAATGAAATAAGCCAGTCACAAAAAGACAAATACTGTATGATTCCACTTATGTGAGATACTTATAATAGTCAAATTCAGAGACAGAGTAGAATGATGGTAGCCAATGTCTAGGGTGTGGGGATAGAGAGCTAGTGTTTAATATGTATAGAGTTTCAATTTTACAAGATGAAAAGAGTTGGAGATGGATGATAGTGATGACTGTTCAACATTATGAATGTATTGAATACCACTGAACTGTACACTTAAAAATAGCTAAGATGATATGGTATTTATGTATGGTATTTTACCATAATTTAAAAAATTGAAAAACAAATAAAAGAAATAGATGGACAGAATAGGAATGGTCTCTCATTTGGTCTCATAAAGATAAAATAAGCTAATGCTGTGAAAACATTTCATAAACTGCAATGCACCACATTACACATTGATCTAGATTTATTCGAACATTAATCATTATAATTAATTTGTAGATCAATGTACCTGACACATTATCCTTAAACATGAATGAAAATATTTTTAGAAATCACAATCATGAATAATTTTCAGTGTTCACTTTTCATTCTGAAAAAAAGGTTTTTGTTCATATTATATTCCAAAGCTTATGAATAAATATTTTAGAAAATAAAAGCAGAATTTCTTTAATACAACTATATTAACATAGTTAGGTGAGTAGTAAATAGTCAAAAGTATTTTAATCAAGGAAAACTTGAAAACCAACTGAAACTCAGAAATTATTCTTAAATAACTAGAAATACTAAGTAGCACAATATAAAGTGTACATGTGTGTTTCAGACAAACAATATAAAGCATTTGGGGCTAAGAAATGTACATAAAATAAGGTGGAAGCTTGTCCTTTTTATTCTACTACAATAGCTTCATGTATAAAGAAAGATATATCCAGTAATGTTGATGATTAAGTACCATGCAAGTATTTAAGCTTCTTGTTATTTACTGTTTTTACAGTAGAAAAGAAAACTGTAAATACTTTTCACCTCCAAAAGCTTTCTTATTTCTATGAATTTTTGTCTTACATATCACTAACTTAATAGAAAGGCTTTAAAGTATCTTATTATAATTATAAAATATCTTACTACAGGTAGCATTTCAAATTCTAAAATAAAATTTAAAAAGTACTTGGAATCCTGCTTTTTAATACTTATTTAGAATAAGCTAAGATTTCCTAATACTTGCCTCTTGTAACCTAAAAACAACAGGGATTTTCTTTTCTGTACAGGCAGCTATGAAGTTATCAGGTAGTAACTGTCCATCTGAAAGAAACTGGTCATCTTTTCCTTGATCAATTAGTATGTCAAGCTGAGAACCTGGAAAGGACTTCACAAGATGAGTAGCATCATAAGCCTATGAAAAGAAAAATATTAAAAAATAAATCTAAAAGTGCCCAGAAATATATTTTTTAGAATATACTATACTAAACCAAATAGAAATTTAAAGCCATTTAAACTCTAAGGCTGATTAAATTGGAAATATGCTTTTAAGTTGGCTTTATTTATAAAGTTTTCAGAATTCTTTCCCAATGATAGGCTCTTCCCTACTTTGAAGCAGACAGATACCAGTTATAAGAATCCTATATCTCAAGCATTCTAAGGAGTAAGCCTTTTTTCTTCTAAACTTTTAAGGTTCTTAATCACCTCTCAACTCAAAAAACAAACAAAAAACAACAAAACAAAACCCTTAACTTTTTTCCTTTGTAAATCCCTTCACAAATTAACTATTTCTTCAAATTCCATTATCTTTTTCTATTTCCAAATCTTCTCTATTTCAAATAATAAGTCTATTTTTTGTCTCTTCCTTTTAGCTCTAATTCCAGACATAAATACATTCAGCCCTACCTTTTGCTATCTGTTGAACAGCACAAAAGATCTGCTATCTCCATGAATTTTCATGAAATCGTGAATAATCTGAATATTAACAACTCAAAATTAAGGAGCTGCTACTAGTTACAATTTTATATTTTAGCATCCACCTTTAAATATTCTTGATTATTCATATCTATTTAGTGACCACAACTTTTATGCATTGATCAAGACAAACAAAAATAAAAATATTTCTCCTTCTAAAGCAGGGGTGGGGAATGTCTAGCCTTCGGGCCATATAAGTCCTGAGAAATCATTTGATCTGGCCCTGCCCAGGCATTAGGGGTGAGTTAATTAAATGTTTGACCAAAGACAGCAAGCTAATTTTAAGTTGATTAATTTCGTATGGCCCGCAAATGATGTTACAAATAACCTAATGGCCCTTGGCAGAAAAAGGTTCCCTGCCCCTGTTCTAAAGTATCATGCTTAAAAAGACTTACTTTCTTTAATCTTAAATTGCGAACCAGTAGTTTTATTGCTAGCTTTACCCAGTGGCCAGATAAGTTTCTATTGAATGAATATAAATAACGTTTTACATAAATGTTAAAGGCACGCCTTAAAATTAAATACTCATTGCATTTTGAAGTTATTTATTACATGTTCTTATAAGCTAATATCTTTTTAAAGTATGATACTTTGTAAAACACTGTGTAATATGAAAACACGAGAACTCTCGTGATCTGTCCGCAATGTGTTGAAAGGAAGAAGTGGAAAGTGACCTATAAAGTCCAACTAGTTCTATGATTTCATAATTCTGCATGGCCTCCTCATTACAATAATAAATTAAATAATAGCCTAAACACAACATAATTAAGACAAAATCTACTGCCACTTGGAGAAAAATT